TAACTATGAGATATGGACAGAAGGTGATGAATTTTCTACTGCCTTTAAATTCCTTTTGACTTTCAGGAAATAGATGTCCAAACACAAAATTCTAGTCAGAAACATCTTCTACTGCAGGCACAACCAAGGACATGACAGAGGGATTTGTCATCCCTTCAGTCTAGGAACTGCTTCATCCGAGAACATTAGAGAACTGGAGATTAAGAGAGCTTTGAGGTTATATCTGAGGCACCTCAGTGCATGAGCTTGTTGACTGAAGAATTAGGTTTGGGTCAGCTTTATTTTTTTCTTCTGATTATGCCTAGTCAGTTTAAGTGGCCACAATATAGTTTTCCAGCCAGCAGGTGCTGAATGTTATACTGAAATGTACCAGAGTGGGGAGAAATTGCTCTAAAATTTGCTCTGAAGTTGTTAAGGAAACCATCTGCCTCCTATCATACCGGTGAAGTGTAGCTTTATAACACAGGTTTAGCTGTCGGATGTCTATACGAGGGACTTTTCAGTGTCAAGGCAAGAACTGAAAAGAAAAAAGGAAAGATTTACCTACCACCAGCATATAAATGATAATTGTTTCTGGGTGAGTTCAAAGTCTAATTTGGTGTGTGAATCATGGGGCTTTACCCTGGGATTAGACAACTATTGTTTGACCCAGCTTTTAGCTCCAGCTCACCCAAAAATGTGAGCAGGAAGCTGGGAAGAATTCTTTTCTTCCTCTTCTTCTCTCTTGGTCAGCAATGAGCTTTCTGTTTCAAAATACAGTAGGTGTTCATTGCTTTAAAGTTCCACTTCTTGAAACTTCTACCTGAATTTTAGCAACTGAAGATGATGGGTTAGCTTCCAGAGTCCCTTCAGTTTCTCTCCAAAAGAAGTGCAGGAAAAACGAAAAAGGATAATTTAAGAGTTAACTCAAGCTCTTTTAATAAGCTACAAGCTTATTGTAGCTGAAGAACTGGATCCTTTTGGAAGCACCTACACTGGGCAGAAAAAAGCAGGCTTTCAGGAATTCACCAGAAAAGCTGGGGACTGGAAAAGCCAGATTTGTTTTCAGATGGGAGTAAAACAGCATGCAAAGCCAAGAGCTTGCAGACTGATAAAAAAAAGACTTCTGGAAATATGACCTTGATACCAGTGAATGTGTGAAATGATATCATGTTCTACAAATGATAGGAGGAAATTTGACCTGGAATGAGACAGGCCCAGTTAGAGGTGTGCCTCTGAGCAGAGCCCTAGGCCTGCACTCTCACAGAAATTTATGTCCTGCAATACCCACTTCCTAGATATTACATACTATCTTCTATATATTGCATGCTGATCCCTCAGCCCTGTTAGTACTGATCAGCATAGAAAATAGTTTATTTCTTAAAGCAGACCTGACTGGCACGCTCATTAAATTGTGATCCATGAAGGAAGAATGATTCATAAAATTAATTTGTCCCATGAAAAACGTAACTCTATCTCTCAACTGGTGTTCAACAGCAGTGAAAAAAAAAAAAAAAACAAAAACGCCTTTGCCTTTGTCATTTATATACTGGTCTAATAGATGTTCACAGCCTCTGTGCCTTTTTTTCTCCCACTTGAATCTCTGTACCACCACATCATAGATTGTCAGAACACAGGGTGTTTAGTTCAGTGGCTGGTCATAATTAAATGCTACTACTATTCAGGATTCCTAACTTCTATTATAAATAATACATTACTATTTCTATTATTAGCGGTAGCGAGGAATGCTAAACTACTGTACTAAACAAACAAGAGCTACTGTACTAGACACCAGAGGAAAAAGCTACACTGACAGTCCTGCTATCCAAAGTGCTGGCAGGTGATAATGTCAGACAGATGAATAAGTAGATAAATGTTGGACAGAAGGTGGGAATATATGCATAAAGCAGTTGCAACAGAGAGTACAGATGTCATGTTCTACAGTAGTTCATTCCCTCTAGGAAAACATGCTTCTTCACACTGTTGAGTCCCATCTTTCAGTGGCACTGGCTGTGACTGTAGATTTAAAGAAATATTAGATGCAACTTCTGTATTATTTCACAGTAGTTTTAGTTCTGATGCATCCTCATTCATTAGAAACATGCTGACTTTCATTCTTCCTTCTATCTCACTCTCACAAACAAAATGATTCTAATTTCTGCAACTTAAAAGTACAAAGTTGCTTCCATCCAAGCCAAGTTGGAAGTGTTTTCCGAAGGTCATTTTTTTGCTGCAGAACTGACATGAGCAGCAAAGAAATGTAAAATAAGGAAGTGTATACAGAAGTGTCCCCCACGACTTATGATCTTCTTTACTGAAATCAAAGCAAAGAAATTTTGCTTAAGGTAAAGGCTATTCCTGACCTCCCACAGCAGATGTCATGACCTGAACTGTTAGTGTCCAGCTACAGGAAAAATCACTGACTCGGGCACATGTATACTTTCACTCCCAGCCCATACTGAGGTCCAAAGATGCTGTTCAGCTGCAGTGGGGACAGAAGCTTTGCCCAGGCACCCAGATATTCTCTGGGAAACACTAGAAGACACATATTGGGTCTGCACGACACATTACTGTGGACAAAACCAAACACTCTTCTGGAGTTTGTCTGGGACAACTGTGCTCGGTCTGTCCACCAGATATCCCATCTGCCTCCATTGCATTATCACATGGCTGTCAGGCAAACATGGCAAGCCAGGGTCCTTTCTCACATGGCCCTTTTGGGGGCTTTGTAGCCAGGATTTGTAGACAGCGTGATTTTTATGCACTGGGGTAAGGGAGGGTTTGGTGGTGCAGGTACCAAGGATTCATGGGACTATACTTGGTAGCATGCTAAGGTGTGGACTAAGTTCTGTCTGGAGAGTATTCTGTCTGGACCAAAGGCAGTGCAGTGGTAGCGCTGAGGTTAGTTCCTAATTTAAACTAGTTTATTTAGAATTATACATTTTTTCCAGAATGGTAATGGTTAAAAACAGCATTAAAGCAATGATTAAATATTTGCAGCTCAAATGCGGGTATTAAAGCTGAGGGAGGCCACCTTTTATGTTTCTTGCTGTTTGCCTCAGAGCCCACAGCACCATTATACTGAGATTTTGTCAAATGAGTTTGAGTAAAGCTCACTTTCTACACAAAAGACTTTGAGTGATATGAATCATCATCACCTAGAAGCTCCTTTCACAACATTATATTAAATTAAACAAAGGAGAACAAAGAACTAGATTAGACTTTGGGGGCCACTGAATCTAGTCTTCTCTTCTTGCAGATAAGAGTTTAGATGAGTTGTTCTGTCTTAATATAAACTAGTGAAGAGATAGGCTGCCAGTTCCAACAAAAAAAGATAACTTTTAGAAATTAAAAACAAGGCATATTATTATGCAAGAAAAAAAATCTCAGTAACAATAATAATGCAGCTGCAACTGTTATCAACATATTTCCATGTGTGTAACAGGATGCCTCTTCCTGGTGCTCTGTCCATGCTACCACTGCCCCTCTGACTCATAGATTGATAGCTTCAGTCTGGTGGAGGTGGCATGAATTCAGCAAGTTGTCAGCATCCAAAGTCCTTCACCAGGAGGAGTGCTGATGGTTTTTCTTTCTTCACTCCAGGATCCACGTGGGGTCATCTTCATATGATTGTTAGCTCACCAATACATTCTCTTTTTCTTCATTGGTCCCACAATGCCATGTTTACACATGAATTTACTGTATATGGTGCATTTTACATGTTGGGCACTCGTTCCTTGTTACCCCTAAATCCAGTTTGGTCCAGATGTACATCTACATTTCTTTAAATAGCCACTGGTGAGACACCCCATTGCATTAGAGCCATGAGATCTCTAGTACAAAGCCTGTAGCCCATCTCTTATCATCTCATGCTTTCAGTCCTCTCCACTGCATCCTGCAAACACATTTTTTCCAGATCTCTGCTATCTAACAGACTGAAATTTCTCCACACTACATTACTAAGTCACAGTTATAAATATTTCATTATATATATAATGTCTATTTGCTACTATTTACATAAAAAATTATGATTGTACAATATACAGATAAGCAACAGTAAAACAAGTTAGACATGACTAGTTGATCATTAGAAAAATTGTTGTGACTAAATGAAAACAAAGCTCTAGGCAGATCAAGAAAAGTTGAGACAAAGCCTTGCCAACTCAGTACAAACCCTGTGGCCTGTTAATAGCAGTGGCAGTATTGTATTACTAGACTACAAGTCTAAAGAAGAGACAAACATGATGTGTCTTCATGGTAGGTCTCTGAGCTTTTATTCATTTGGCATTTCAAATAATTGCACTGTTCTCTACATCAGTCATTAATTCTTTGGCTGTCATTTTTCCATTGATCTAAGTGGTTTTTTTTTTTTATTTTCATGTCATTTTAGATATACATAAGTATAGATATAAAATGAATACCTGAGTAATGGGAGTTTTTAAAGCGGGACTAAATGAATCCATTGCCAATGAAAGAGTTACACTGACAAAGAATTTTGCTGCAGAGGTTTTAATTTCACAAGCATTTCTTTAGCATTAAGTCCCACTAGAAATAATATTAAAATGAAAATGGAGTAATGGATCATGTAGAAAGATCTAGGCAGGAAATAAAATTGATTTAAAGACAAATTAGTCGGTCCAGTTTTGGTGAACACATGGACTTAATGTGATGAGCAAAGATCAGAGGCTTAATTCAGTGTTCTCATCTGAGAGTTAGAGAAAGGCTTCAAGCTACATTACATGCAAGTCAATCCAATCTACTCATGAAAAAAAAATAATGTTATCCCATTCTGTCTTTTTCCCTGAAGGAATGAATCTTGAAAGTGTTTAGTGTATATGTACATCTTAACCACAAGGCTTAAACCGAGAATGGAAAATGTAGATAAGCAATTTATCTGGGTTTAGGTGGTTAGGTATGCTAATTTATATGAGGAGGAAGAGAGGAGAGGATCAGTAGAGGAGAAGCTTTTTCTCTGCTTCCAAGCCTTTGACCTGGAGGGGTAAAAGCCCACTCTGTGGGAGTGTCAGGAGGAGATAGGAAGAGAAGCAGATCTGCTGGGTTTAGATTATGGCAATTTGTTCCTCAGAAGTTCCTAGCACTGACTGATAATCACCTCAGGGTTCAGTGCTTTCTATTACCTGCAATAAAAGTGGTCGTATTCGAGCTATGCCAGCATACTTAGAATTAAGCCCAAAATAACTCAAATAGTTCCTATTCTGAAAAGAAAAAAAAAAAAAAAAGACATAGTATATTTTTACCAGACTTCCTCAGGTCATAGTTATGTGAAGTTATAAATTCCATAATGAAATATGAATGTGTTCCAAAAAGTGATTCCTAATAGACAACAAGCTCTTCAGCAGCCTCATCTTTATTTGAGTTTACATTTGTCCAAATAAATAATCAGAACTTCAATTTTACTACTATCTTGTGTTTTCATAGTGATCCACTGACTATAGAATCATTTTATTGTAGAAGATAATCAGTCTGGTTAGGCATGATTTATCCTTGTCAAATCCATGCTGACTTTTCCCAGTTATCTTCTTGTCCTCCATGTGCCCCACAACATCCTCCGGGAGGGCTTACTCTGTGATTTTCCCACAGTCTGAGATGAGGCAGACCAACCTGAACTTGTAGTTACTGTGGTTAATCTGTTGGCCTGTTCTGAATGTGAGTGCAAAATCTGCCTTCCTCTGGTCATTGATTTTTCAGAGATGACAGAGAGCAGCCTTGCCAGGACTTTGTCAGCTCTCTCAGCACCGTTGGATACAGCCTATTGAGTTCAATGAATGTAAGTACTTGCAAGCATTCCCTAACTCAGTCTTGCTCTGTTGTTGGTCATTCTCCTCCTCCCTGAACCCCTTCACAGGAGGCCTTGGAGAAGTTGAGGCAACGAAAACATTGAGTCTTTCAGCTTTAAAATGTTGTTTAAAAGTCTACTGCAAAGTTGTTGTGTGCTCCACTACACATTCCTATTAGTTGTGAGAACACTTAGGAAATCATCGGTAAACATCATCTTCTCAAGACAATCAACTCTGTATGATGTTAGGACATGAATACAAATTATATAGATTTTTTTTACTGCCTGAGCACTAAACCTGGCAGAAGAATAGATAATGAGTTTGAAAGAAGCATTGCAAGGTGCAGGTACATCAGTCAGTATCATCTATTTTCTTAGACAAATGTTTGGTAGCAAAAGATATCAAAATCATATAATCACAGCATGGTTGAAATTGAAAGACCCCTCTGGAGGTGATCTAGTCCAACCACCCCGCTCAAAGTAGAGTCAATTAGAGCAGGTTGCTCAGTGTTATATCCAGCCTTATTTTGAATGTGTCTAAGGATGGAGATCCCAAAACATCTCTGGAAAGCCTGTTCCACTGTTCGATCACCCTTAGAATAAAATAGATTTTTTTTATGTTTAAATAAACATATCAGATTGAAATACTTCAGCCTTACTTGAGGTGATTCTTGTTAGCTAACTTTACTCTGTGAGAGTTGAACATCAACATAAGATTCATTTGACCTACCACAGAATAAAATGGATCTTCTTTCAAATATCCTTCTTTCCACTGATCATGGAGTAGCATAGACATTTGAGTTTAAACATCTAATCCAGATGACATGAATCCTACTAATGGTCATTTTTCTTCCATAACACCACACAACATCAAAAATGAAAAAAAAAAAAAGACCTAAACAAACAAAAATATTACATTTTATCTAGCCCTCTGTGGTGAAAAGCTAGGATTCAAAATATGTAGCTATTCTTTTTTATTTTTTTTTCCTTTGCTTTTCTATGCTTTGTTTATCCTTTCTACTCATGGAAATCATCTTTATATGATCACTTGTGCTATGGGAATACAATATCTTATCCCATCCCAATTATAACCTTTAAACCTGCTGGCTAATTTCAACTAAACTGGGAGAGGCATCACATGAGAACCCATGACCAACAAGTTTTGTGAAAATCAACAAATGGTTGATAATGAGGAAAAGGAAAGCAGAATTCAGTGTTTATCCATTTGGAGAGATAATAGACAACTGACCTGACCAACTTGACATGAGCACCTGATGGCCAGTTAACACTTGTAATTCCAACCTAGCCACTGGACTTAATCGTTTCTTCCCTTGAAAACAGAAAACAGACAGGGAACACAGCAGTAAGAGAATGATAGGGGGGTAAGGGAATCAAGAGAGATAGTGGACTTTTGATAAGCTAGATGGTATCATAGTAATTCAAGAAACACTGAGAACCTGGAGATACTACAGGGAGAGCAGGTGGGGATGGATATAAGACATAATTTATGAGAAGTGAGTTTCAGTAGCTCCATATATTGATCCACACAGTATGTCATACAGTTAGGAACTGAAATGCAATTGGCCAGGATCCAGCTTGACAGCAAATGTCCTAATAGTCAATTTCTGCTCTCAGTTATAGTTCTATAAAAGTAGAATAACTCTTCCATTTGTTATTTTATTCCTAGTTATCACAAGGTGACCCATCTGTTTATATTTTCTCACTCATGCATGGTTATGGCAAATTGAAATTCCCATCAAATCACAATACTTTGCATACACTTAGCAGCATCTAAGAAACCAAGAGTTGCACAATGTCATATTCCTACTTTTCAAATAGAAGACTACCATCCGTTTAACATTTTAAGTGTCAGAGTTGCTTGGATGACACATTTAGCAAGATGCAGAATAACTTCAGCCATATGCTTTAAAATACTATAAGAAAGAAAGGAGAATTAAGCATAAATAGAAGCCTAAACCATGGCCAAAACTTTAAAAAGATGGGTGTCTACATTTAGGCTCTGAGATCTGTAACTAATCATTTTCTCAAATGAATCAGTTTTCAAAAAAGCAAATCGAGACTATTACAGATCTTCACATCTGCAAATTTAATGCAAGGAAAGCAATTTGAATCCTTTCTTGAGTTAATTTGGTAAGTGCTGACACATGGAACCCTGGTGTAATCCCATTGCTTTCCATCAGGCTAGAGAGAAAAGTGTTACATCTTTTCCTAACCTGAGAATCATGAGGAGGGAACACATCCAATAAGAAGCACATAAACGAAACTCCATTCACTAAAGCTCAAAATCTGTATATTCCATACATATGACAGAATCAGTTAGTCTGTGACGATGTTATAGGAAATGGTAAAAAGCCTTGCTACTGTCACAAAAAACAACATCCACTGTTTCCTGCTCATCCACCAAGCTAGTCATTTTCACTACAGGAGGTGATTATAATGCTAAGGTCTGATTTCTCTTGGATTTCCATGATGACTACTCCAAATCACCTTCCTGTCTTTCACATGTTTGGAAAAGTTTCCAGGTTTATTCCAGGACTGAGGTGAGGCTGTCCAGGCTGTAGTTCCCTGGATTCTTCTTCTTGCCTTCCTTGAAGGTAGGAGTGGCATTTGTTTTCTGTCTGTTCCCCAAAACCTTCCCTGACCACCAGAGCCTTTTTCAAAGATAATTGAAAGCAGCCTCACAATGACATCAGCCAGGTCCCACAACACTTTTGAGTGTATACCATAAGGTTCCAGTGACTTGCATATGTCCAGCTTTGTTTAAATGTTTCCCAAACTGACATCTTGCTTCAGATTTCCTCATTGGTTTCAAGGGTCTGGCATTCCTGAAGGAAAATCTTACCAGTAAAGACTAAAACAAACAAGGCATTGTGTGCCTTGGCATTTTTCATGTCTTCTGCCCCATTTGGAAGCAAGCTCACATTTTCCCTCATCTTCCTTTTGATCTTGAGGTACCTGTAAAAACTTTTCTTGACCTTTATGTCCCTTACAGTTTCAGCTCCAAGTGGGCTTGGGCTTTCCTAACCTTATCTGTGCACTCTTGGACAGTATCTCTATATCTCTTCTGTGTCACCTCTTCCTGCTTCCACATCTTGTATGCTTGCTTTTTTGTGTTTGAGTTTTGTTAAGAGATCCCTGTTCATGCATGCAGACCTGCTGCTGCCTTTGCTGGACTTTTGTACATATTGGGATGGATGAAATTTGAGCCTGGATGAAACAATCTTTGAAAATCAACCAGCTGTTAAGGATTGTCTTCTTCCTAGGGTCTTATTACATGGAATTCTTTCAATCAAATCCCCAAACAGGCCAAAGACTGGTCTCCTGAAGTCCAGGGTTGTGATCTTGCTATTTGCTTGGTTTCTTTCTCAGAATCCTGAACTCCAACAGTCATAGTCACTGTAGCCAAGACTGCCTCTGATTTTCACATTCCTGACCAGTCCTGCTTTGTTTGTAAGCATGAGGCCCATCTCCTCTCATTGGTTCCTTGACTACCTGTGTCAGGAAGTTGTCATCAACTTTGTCCAGCAACTTTCTGGATTGCCTGTGCCCTGCTGTGTTCTTCCTCCAGCAGATAATGGGATGTTTAAAGTCCCACATAAGGACCAGGCCCTGAGAACATGAGGCCCCATCTTTTTCAGGAGGTCTGTAGTGGATTTCCACAGCACCATTGCCTGTGTCACTCTGCCCTCTAAACCTGACCCATAAGTTGGTGTATCATTTGTCCCAGTCCATGTCCATTCTTCTAGTGATGATGCATAGGAAGTACCTATAATATAAATGCATTATTCCAGCTAAAATTCAAATTTGGTTGGTTTTGGTTTTTGGTTTTTTTTTGTTTGTTTGTTTTTTTGGTTTTTTTTGCCACAGAGTCAGACAGAGCTACTACATGGATGTGAGAGGGAAAGAAAAGACATAGAGAAGAGCAATTTCTACCTTACAGTATGACTGATGTGCACATATTTAAATTGCTCTAAAAAGAAAGTAAGGTGGCAGGTTAGGATGTTGCTTTCAGTTCATATTCACCTTGGAGAGGACAAACCCAACAGTTCCCTTATATCAAGTTCTTACTGTTATCTCAGCTGATACCACAGTACCATGTCCAAGGAGCTGTATGGCCTCACTCTAGCTTGATGTCTAAAATATTAACTCACAGATAATAGCTATCAGAATGAAACAAGCTCCCTTCAGCCTTTTACACTTAGAGAAAGCAGGCCA